TAGAAGGCTTAGGATGCATAAACAGAGTGGTGCTATCAAATCCCATTTGGACTCAACACACTCAATCACTATAAGCCGTGAAATCCTCGACAGCAACATCAATCAAAGTAATATACCAGAACACCAACTACACGCATCTTAAAATTGGAAAAGCAGTCCTAATTTACATCAATAAACCCAAAATAAATATACAACAAAAAATGACAACCTCATTCCCAACCCAGCGCTTAATCAACAATGAAATCAAAGAAATAATAAAAATTAGCATTGTAAATAATGACAAAGAAAAATATAAGGCTATCAATGAAGAAAAGGAAACCAACAAAGATGGACCAGCCAATAAAGAAATTTGACACCTAATTTCCATCTAAGTTCACTTTCACAAAGTGAATATTTCCCTATATAAACCATCTTGCACTGATGATGATTCGTTCGGAATCGAAATATGGCCTTATTTGCAGCATTAATTCGGAAAAGAAGTTTATTTTGCATTTTAATAAACTAAACGTTCACCAAAAAACTTTAGTGAGAAAAATCGAAAAAACGAACTACAAACATATTAACACCAAACATTCGGTAGAATCTATAGAATATTGTAAATATATATATATATATATATATATATATATAAAATATAAAGTCATATTAAAAAATCCGCCTCTAAACATTTTTTAAAATTATTTTAGAAGCCATGTAGCTGTTTGTAAAGGATGAATGATGTTCATTTGAGCCTGTATGGCATTACAAATTACTAGCCATGAACTATCTCGCTTTGAAATAAAACATACATATCTAGCTAGAACTAAATATTGAAAAACTTGGCAAATCATTCCAAACTTTTGGGTCAGAAATAGAGAAGTTTTTGAGCCTATGTTTAAACTTGTCCCCAGTTGGAGAAGGAATATCATTACGCCGATGAAGTTTTAGGAACGACGGCTTAGGAATGCATCTGTACCAAATGTCTAGGCTAAATATAATTCATTTGTACAAGTCAGGCGCCACATTGATTGATTAATAACCTTCATTTTATTTTTTTATATTTTATGTATTTAAATGAATAGTAATGAAATTTGTAAAATTTTATACAATATTGTTTTGAAATTTACCGTGGGAGAGCTTGTTAGAACATTTGAATGAGCTAATTTTAACCCATCTTTAATAACATAACTTTAACAAAGGAATTGAAAAATTGTTTATAACAATATCCTCTTTTCTTTCTTTAAATATAATGAGTGTCTGACTTCATTGCTAATTTTGTTTCCATATTATATTAAGAAAATGAGAGGATTATTTCAGCCTAACCCTGATATTTCCTCTTACACACACACACACACACACACACACACACACACACACAACACACACACAACACACACAACACACACACATATATAATTATGTTAAATATATATTAATAAGTTATTTAATTATACACAGTATTTATCGTAATTTAGTAAGTTCAACGAAGTGATGTAGTTTGGTTGATGAATAATAATATTAATAAATAGTAGTAGTAGTAGTAGTTGTTGTTGTAGCAGTACTACTACTAATAATAACAATAATTATTAATAATGAAAATAATAATGATGTGAACAGTCTTTATTTTTCTCTTAAAATCTTAGAAATATAATAATATATATATATTGATATAATTAATAATAATATTATTATTAGCATTAATTTATTTATAATAATAGTTGTAATTATAATCATAATTATTATTATAATAATATTGTCGAAAATTATTACTATAACAACTGATCGGAGCAATTAAGTTAAATGATATGCAATTAACTTATCGCGTAGTTAGTTGTGTGTTTTTTCAATTATCTTAATTAATATTGCCATCATTCACAAACCATCTACATGTCACTGCGTTAGCACTGTCTGCTGTTTATATTGTTTTAAACATTAACGCTCGTAACTACCAACACCGATGTTATAACTTCAATGATCTTTCTATTTCCAACACCAGTGTTTTAGCTCCCAACGATCGTCAAGTTATCGTTATTCCGTAGGTTCAAGATTTCCAAAAGATGAAAACAACTCCTTTCAAATGCAAACTTGGTTGAACGTTTATTTGAATACCAACAGTAATAGAAACACTAAACTAATCCAAGTAACTACATAAATCACAATTAAAACTTTTCTTCAAACCTCGCTATTGACTCCGTTACTCCCGCCACTTATACCTATACAAGAAATTTTGACAATCCAAAGATTACAAATATTGCAAAGATAACAAAGATGATAAATAATTAAGGTAACTAATGATATAGCACAATTCGACGATTGCGGCGGTTATAACAACATGTTCCATTTTGCATCCCGCGCCGTCATCGGAATAAACTTTCCAAACGTGTGGTGACCTCTTTGTTCTTCATCAGCTCTACACCATCTACAGTAGAGTAAAGACTACTGCGACTTCATATTTCATTTTTCGTACAAACATTAAAACAAGACTGTAACAAAACTACAAGAATAAAAATAAAAAGGTACAAAACCCACGCAAAAAACAACAAGAAAAATTAACGACCTTCGAATGAGATTTGTTAACACTTTCCAGAATGTTCAAAATGACCTGTTGTTATTCATTTAAAAGTGGTGTTATTATTTAAATTAAAAGGTCAATACAGTATTGCGATAAATATTGTATTGAGATACACTCATTTAAATTATGAAGTTACATCTAATGTTCTTTTTTCTCACTAATTTTATACACTTGTTTTTTTATGGGAATGAATGTTATCGTGGAGTGAATGGAAAGAAATTTATTAATTTATAACAAGTTTGAAACAAAAAACTTAAATTTTTGAAGTTTTTTTATGACCTGCAAATTGAATTTATTTTGATTATAAAACCATTTGTGCAATTGAATATTTTATAATTCTAAAAACATATTGAATTCAAGATGTTTTCAAAATTTTTTATGTAATTTTGTTAAATTTTAAATCTAATATTATACTTAAAATACAAAATTACAACATAATTTGAAATTGATAATTTTCTTGAAAACTCATTTTTAAACTACTTGCAACATATTCGAAGCAGCAAAATATAACCAAACCAACATCTACAATCCTGAAATTGATGAAGTTAATAAAACCAGCTTTTAGATAGTAATAAGGATATGAATAATACACTTTTTGTCATAAATCAGAATTTTGATGGAGCTGTTTGCAATATTTATTCATTTATTTGTTTTCACTTTTTTAAAATTCCTGTTAAACATTTACACTAAATCTGCTTTTGCTTTTTCTGGTCTTTTTTTTCTTGAACTCTCCTCCTCTTTCTCGACTTCTTCACGCTCACAAATTTCAGAGCAGATCTCAAGACCGACATGTTTGCAAAATTCATTGAGGAACACTGTTATTTGCATTGAGGAAAAGACGCTTAAGAAGTAGATTGATCGATTGTTCGATCGATCGATCGATCGATCAATTGATTAGATATTTGAAGCTAAAAATTGAAATGTAATGAAAATAGAAATATTTATTGATTACAAAAGAACAAAACTAGTTTATTATGCAGGCGTTTGTGCTGCATGATTTTAGCTATATTGTCTATGCCTGTTCATTTGGATAGCGAGCGAAGTCTCAGCAAATGAAATGCAAAACTAGAGCGACGAGACGTAATTTAAACCTTCTCAAATGGTTTTCCGTTTTTTCAATGTTAAAAGAGGTTTATTAATCTGTTAAAATTGACAATGGTAGTGGTTGCACTGCGCAATATACATGTTAATTACCATCACCGAGTCATGGCTTAGGCCAGATCACCCTGATGGTTTGATCGCAATAGATGGCTACACACCCTTCAGAAAAGACCGCCCTGGCAGGCGGCGTGGAGGTGGCGTTGTCATCTATTTGAAGTCATCCATCTCATCTCAAATTCACATCGTTCCACCTCATGCTGTCAATGATACACTGGAAACCCTTTGTCTCAAGTGCATCTAGTTTTTGCACGTATTGTTTGGAACTTTCTGGTGTTTTGTGTTTATATCTTATATGTAAGTTCGTACTAATATTTAGAAGCATTATATGATGTTGATGGGTATTATTTTGTATTTATAAGTATTGTCTGGCGTTTAGGAAAGTTTTTCGATCTTTTGAGTCCACTTTCTCTTCCTCGAGTTCATTAAAGGGCTGCGATGTTAGCTAACTCTTAAATGAAACTGAATCAAAAACTGAACCATCAACCTTCCTAAATGAATGAAGGAAGTATTTGAAGCTCTGTTTGATTTGTGAAACAAATGTGCATGTACAGTGGCGGATTTGGGGGAAGCACTGCCTCCCCCCGTTTTGAGCAGTTTTTAAATCAGTCAGAAAAAGTGTAAAATTGGCCAAAAATTGAACGTTTGAACGTGATAAATCAAAAAGTCACACTACCACAAATTTTGGCCACCCTGTAAAGATTTTGTTCCCCCCGTAAAATTTTAAACATTTTCAAATTTTTGGCCCCCCCCCGTCAAAGTTGTCTAGATCCGGCACTGCACATGTACAACATATCAGGTCACTTGCTAAGCACTTTTCAGTATATAATAATAAAAATTTATAATAACAGCAAACAACGACGACGATGATGACGACGATGATGATAACATGATGATGATGATGATTCCTCAGTCTCATTACAATATTATAAAACAAGCAGAAGAGAAAAATGTTAGCCATGTGTTGCCGGCAGAATCGACATTCAACAAAAAATTTGCGTGCAATAGTTTCAATGTTAACATTTTATTAACAACATGTTTTCTACGAACGAAGCGAACAAACACACGCCGATGATGCTGATGAAGAGGATGTGTCTGCCCGCACGTTACCAGCGAACGACGCATGCATTGATGCATTATTATGAGAAGACTCAAGTATGACAATATAATAAATAATTAGCATGGCTCGGCTCATTCAGAAGTGTATATCAAGTACTGTTTACACTTATAATAAATCGGCTACACGATCTACACATGTATGCAACTTGTAACTTACCTTCACAATAAAAGTCATTGTTTGTGCGAAATTGAATCAAAACAAACCCATGTTTAATGACACTTTTATTCTCATAAAATAAGAACTGAAAACATTTAAACTAAAAAATATAATTTTAAAATTTAAGTTGAATAATAAATTAACAAGAAAGCTGTCACGATGTTCTGTTGCTGCTTTGGAAACTCTCCGGAAGTCAGCAGTAGAGGGGTCAGTTCTGCGTCAGCTGTTTTGTTACTTATTGTGCTGTCAATTGTTTTTTTACCTGTTCAACTGCCTATTATGAGTTATTTGTTTTTTAAATATCTCGCATATTTTGTTACCTGTTATGTCTAATATTAAATGTTTCGCTCTTTGTTACGTTATGTTACCTGTTAGTTGCATGTTATGCTGCGTCATGCGTTTATTGTCTGTCACTTTTTATACTGCTACGCTATCCGTTTTCAGTTTCTATCATATCTGTTATGCATGTGCTTGTTATGTTACGTTATCAGTTTCAATTAATATATTAACTCAATGCGTAAAAGTGTAGAAATAATTTGTGCTGTAAAAACATTTTTTAAATGTGTAGCAATTGTCCAACGATGTACTTAGTTGTAAGATAGAATAAATGATAAAACAGGCGAACAATATTAACGGCGATAATTTTTTCGTAATGATCCTGTTACAATGCAATTAAGTTACTGTTTTTGGTCTGCACTTCCTCGTTTGGAAATGTATATTAGTTAGGGTTATGTGATTATTTTTTTTTACTTCGTCGAAGAAGCTTAGCGTAATTTGTGGTAATACATATGAGCCTTTGAAACATCAAAAAATTATTATTTCATTCCGATTCATTTTATTATACAAAATTTTGATCAATTCTCATCTATTTCCCGCGCCGTCATCGGAATAAACTTTCCAAACGTGTGGTGACCTCTTTGTTCTTCATCAGCTCTACACCATCTACAGTAGAGTAAAGACTACTGCGACTTCATATTTCATTTTTCGTACAAACATTAAAACAAAACTGTAACAAAACTACAAGAATAAAAATGAAAAGGTACAACACCCACGCTGAAATGCTCTCCAAAAAGTACAGGGTAATTTTCACCGAAATGTTTTGTTTTCTCAAGCGAAATTGTAGCGTAGAATTTTTCGCTTGGCATCTCTCAACATAAATAACATTTGCACAAAAAATATCAAAAACTTTAACAACAACAACAACAGCAGCAACAACAACAACAACAGCAGCAGCACTAGTAACGACGACAATAACAACAAAAACACACACATTATAAATTGCATTACCAACTAAAATTTGAAGATCTACCGTGTTTCCTCATATATAAGACATCCCTCAAATATAAGACCTAGCACGTTTTTTGTCTATTTTTCTAATATAAGCCCTCTCTCGAATATAAGTCCTCCCTCGATTATAATTTCTAGTATGAATCAGCTGACAACAACAAAAACTTCTGTCAAAACCACACCGGAAACGTCAACTGCTGCAAGATTTTTCGTTTTTCGAGGATTTTTCGTTTTTCGAACTGTTTTTCCTCCTTCAAGCATATCCTGAGGTTACAAAGCTGTCAAAGTAAGGGTTGTTTTTTCTATTCAAATAAACTATTTTGTAACATTTTGCCCATATTTAAGATGAGTGGCAAGAGGAAAAGTTACTCTGTCGAATACAAAAAAGGAATTGTGGAAGAATGCAGAGATCAAAATATTACTGCATTTTGCAAAGAGAAGAAGTTGGATGTACGAATGGTTAGGAAATGGCGAGCACAGTATGATGATCTCAATCAAAAGGTTGAAGATGGGCAGGCAAAAAAAAGAAAATGTGGCTCTGGAAATCGTCCATTCTTTCCAGAGTTAGAAGACATCATCTTTGACTGGATTGCTGAGAAGAGAGAAAACCGTATGGTTGTGCGCAGAGCTGAGATTCAAGCTTTTGCTCTCGAGATGGCTCCTACACTTGACATCCCTCCTGAGGAGTTCAAAGCTTCAAAATGTTGGCTGGATCGCTTCCTTCAGCAGTATGAACTCTCACTACGAAGATCAACAACACTGTTCAAGCTTGAGGATAAAGAAGCTGTCAAGAGAGCTCTCATGTTCAAGTCTTTCATGGATGGTTTGGATTTTTCAAAGTATCAGCTTTCCAACATGATTGCTATGGATGAGACTGCTGTTTACATGGGTCAGGACACTCAAAAGACAGTCGACTTCAGAGGAGCTTCATCAATTTATGTACCATCAACTGGATATGAAAGTGCACGCGTCACCTGCATTTTGGCAATTCGTCTGGATGAGAAGAAAGCTGCTCCACTTCTTATTACCAAAGGAAAGAAAGAAAAGATTGAATGCCAGGGAGGAGTTTATGTCTTGGAATCAGAAAAGGCATGGAGTACGCAGAATGTAATAAGAAAATGGGTGGAACTTATGCTGCCACTTGTTTTAAGAGGAAGTCAACGAGGTCTCCTCATTTGGGACTCTGCAAGCACTCATCGTGCAAAGGATATGAAAAACTTCTTGGCAGAAAGAAGGGTTGATCAGGTTATGATCCCAGCAGGGATGACTGCTTACCTCCAGACCTTGGACATTGCAATAAACAAGCCTTTCAAGGATTACCTCAGACTTGAAATCAATGATTATATTAAGAATAGGATGTCAAGGAACAAAAATAACAACTTTGTGAAGCCTAATCTGCAGGAGGTAGTCTCTTGGGTAAGGAATGCATGGGGCAAAGTCACTGATGGCTGTGTTGCAAAGGCTCTGAAAGCAGGGTACTTGGACAAAACATCGCCATTTGAAGCGAGCTACATCGCAAAACACGATAGATTGGGACCTATGATACTGAAGGAGCTGGAGTCAAATGAAATATTGGCTGGAATTCAAGGCCTTGATCTGGAAGAAAATGATGATATCCCAGAAGATGATGATCTTATTGTATTTGAATAAAATATTATTGTATTTGGGAAAAATAAATGATGTCGAAAAAATTGGCATAATAATATAAGCCCTCCCTCGAATATAAGACCTAGGGCAATTTTTGGGAAAAAATTAATATAAGACCCTGTCTTATATTCGAGGAAACACGGTATTGAACTAATAAAACTCGTCTATGAAGTTCCAAGTTTTTGTGCCAGAAAGTTAGGAAAAAGAAATATGATTGCTGACAATGAAACAATTTTTAAATCGGCTCATCATAGTGAATTTTAATTCATCCAATTATGCCAAACTTTGTTTTTGATATCTCTAGTAAAACGACTAAAAAATTGGTGAGCTAGGTTTGCCAAAATGTTAAATCGAAAAAATAATTTTATGAAACAAACCGAATTTCGAAGACAGAATAAATTTTTTCTTATTTTATATAAAAAAAATTATAGAATTGAAACAGTAAAATAAAAAAATATTTTAAAGTTAAATAGCTTCAATGCATCATTTGCACATTTGGCCATGAAATTTAGTTTTCAAGTACATTTAAAACGTGGTATAGGTACTGTTGTACAAATTCGCGTGAATAATCAATACTTCAGTGGTCGATGACTGGCTGACTAAATAACAATCTTGAAATAATTGTACATCTTGTTTTTAAATTCACATATCAAAGATAGTTTGCCTAAGTTCGATTTTACAGTGAATAAATTTTACGGTGAAAAGATTTAGAGATGGTGTACTTGTGCTGGTCGGGCCGGCCGTACTTGCATCAGCAGGTCGACAAATTATTACTCATATAACATATAAAATTTGGAAATAATAATTAATCTATATATAGCATTTTTCAAAATTAAATTTGAAAATAATTTAGTTTTTAAAAAGAAGCGCACATTTAAATTATTTCTATAAAATTTATTATAATCATCATCATCAGAAAACTTATATGGCGCCCTTTAATAGTATTCAAAAATAGTAAAATTATATGTATATGTATAATTGTATATATATATATATATATATATATCTATATATAATATATATAAATTTCTAAAAAAAATTGTCTTTGAATTAAATAATTTCAGAAAACTTATCCATACAACGTCACAAAATGTTCTGAAAATAAAAAAAAACATAATTTTAACAATTTCATAAAACGAAGCTTGGCTTCAGAAAAAATGTTTAACCGGTGCATTAATTTTATCTAAGAAATAGTAATTCGTTACAGATTAAAAACAAATTTTTACAGAATGAGGCGCCAGTCAAACCGAATATGAACAAATTTACGGAGGAGGTTCTGGAGGCTTCCAATGCCTACAGGAAACGTCACGGAGCTGTAGCGTTGAAGTTGAATAAAGAGATATCGAAAGTATCTCAGGCTTGGGCCGAACATCTTGCAAAAACTGACACAATGAGTCACAATCCTAGTCCTATCTACAAGAACACAAATATGGGCGAAAACATTGCAATGCGATACAGCAGTGACATGTCGGAATACAGTGGTAAAAAGATTGTGGAAAATTATTTAAAATTAATTTATTAATAATTTATTTGTTAGTTTAAAAGTTCTTAATGAAGTTGGAAAATTTATTTACAAAATTTTGTTAAAAGGTTACCAGGCTGTCGATCAGTGGTATTTAGAAATTTCAAATTACAGTTTTAAGACTCACAGCGGTCCAAAAACAGGTTTGCCATTAAACGGCCATCATTTAAACACTTTTTGTTATTTTATTTCAACGTTAAGCAATTAAATCTTACACACGCTTCTAAAAATTAAATAATGGACTGAAAATTTTATAAAATGTAAAAAAATATATTTTCACGAACAAACCAGGACATTTTACGCAGTTAGTCTGGAAAGGAAGCTTGGAGATGGGTTTGGGAAGAGCTCAAACAAAAGAAGGCAAATGGCTGGTTAGCACATGTTAAGTTTATGGCATAAACAAAATGTTTCTATAACGTATTAAATAACTAAAATGCCAAAAAACAGTAACGTAAGTAATATCATCTATCACGATAATTGTATAGAATCGTCAATGCAAAAAGATAGCTTTTGTTTTCGGCTAACGTCAAAATTGTTAATAAATTATTTATCGCAACTTGAATATTTTTTAAACGTTTAAATTAGATTTGTAAAACTTAATTTCATTTATGTTAAAATAACTAATTTAAAAATTTCACGTTGAAATAGGTGGTGGCAAACTATTTTCCGGCAGGTAACTTTGTCGGGGAGTATGCGATGAATGTACTTCCTCCCACCGATGGCAAGATCTCTTCCATGTTCTCCCACGGTTCAATAAATTATTTTTACTTTACGTATATTGTCTAATGCACTGAATTACACACAGGAATTGAACAATACTAAGTCATTACTTTAGCTCGCGTCAATCGACAATCAATCTTTATTCCCAGGTGCCCTCCACCAATTATATTGAATGCATAAGGCATATGATCAAGCTTGCACATGCAGCAAAGTTTATAATGGAGAAAATACGTTATGGTAATATCAATAGAAAGTATAATTTAAAGAATAAATTGTGAAGTTAAAAGTGCGGCAGCATTTTACTTCACTATCTATCTTATTAATATTAACAAGTATTAAGAAAAGAGTTTACATCTAAAATCTTTAACATGATTATTATAAAAGCAACTCCACTACTTTCCATATGGTTTCTTATGATCGCAAAACAAGGTGGCGTAGTATTATTATCTGAAAGAGATACTCATGGATATATATATATATATATATATATACATATATATATATCCATGGAGATACTTTTCATCTTTCATAAAATAAAATTTACCTAATTTTATAATATAAACAGTCTTTACAATAACTTTGAGCAATTTGCTGACCAATTAAAAATCAATCTATTAATATGCCAAGTAAGTTAATCGACCAGTCGGTTAGTAAGCCAGCCAGTCAGTCAAGTCAGTCTTTCGTTCGGTCGGCCGGTTGGTTATTCATTTTTTCGGTCATTTGGTCGGTCAATTAATTTAAAGTCAATCAAAAAATCTCAATCAATAAATGAGTGTTTAATTTTGTGTAGTTCAACAGCATTAATTACACGAAAAAAATCTCTTTTCTATCAATTTTTATATAATTGAATTTTTTTTATTTAACCTGGACAAGCAGCCTATAAAAGTGATCCCGTTGCAATGGGAGGAAACAAAGTGAAGAGGGAAATACAGGAGGCCACAAAAGGAACGGGAGCTGATGCAGTCATGACCAGAACCACCATCGAAACAATAACAACACCAGATGGGAAAACAACCGTCAATAAAAAAGTAGAAACTTTCAAGGGAGAGTCAGCCATCGTTAGTGATTTATAATTTAAAAATTCTTTTTTTGCGTTGATGCGGTTAATATGGCAACGCATGCAAATTAGCCAATGGGCGGTAATCAAACCACGTACCAAAAATACTGATGAACCGATAACATCAGCACTACTTAAACCGACATTGGCAATGAAATTTAATATTATCATGGATATATATTAATATATATAATATATAATATATTATATAAATTATATATATCCATGAATATTATTGATACAATTATCGGTACTAAATTATTTACTAGACGGAAAAACCGTTTATAATGTTTATAAAAATATTTGTATTTTTTACTACACCTTCAAAATATTTTACATTTGTTAACCACATAACTCAGAGTTTGTAAATTTCTAACACTAAGACAAACGAAATATGTTTAATAATAAATGTTGTAAAATATTTTGAAAATGTTGTAAAATATTTTGGACGTGTAAAATTTCTTGGATAAGTTGTATTATTTCTTGTAAAACATTTAATAATCTATTAATTATAACATATAACTTTTCAGAAAGCGGCAAAAAACAACAAGAAAAATTAACGACCTTCGAATGAGATTTGTTAACACTTTCCAGAATGTTCAAAATGACCTGTTGTTATTCATTTAAAAGTGGTGTTATTATTTAAATTAAAAGGTCAATACAGTATTGCGATAAATATTGTATTGAGATACACTCATTTAAATTATGAAGTTACATCTAATGTTCTTTTTTCTCACTAATTTTATACACTTGTTTTTTTTATGGGAATGAATGTTATCGTGGAGTGAATGGAAAGAAATTTATTAATTTATAACAATTTTGAAACAAAAAACTTAAATTTTTGAAGTTTTTTTATGACCTGCAAATTGAATTTATTTTGATTATAAAACCATTTGTGCAATTGAATATTTTATAATTCTAAAAACATATTGAATTCAAGATGTTTTCAAAATTTTTTATGTAATTTTGTTAAATTTTAAATCTAATATTATACTTAAAATACAAAATTACAACATAATTTGAAATTGATAATTTTCTTGAAAACTCATTTTTAAACTACTTGCAACATATTCGAAGCAGCAAAATATAACCAAACCAACATCTACAATCCTGAAATTGATGAAGTTAATAAAACCAGCTTTTAGATAGTAATAAGGATATGAATAATACACTTTTTGTCATAAATCAGAATTTTGATGGAGCTGTTTGCAATATTTATTCATTTATTTGTTTTCACTTTTTTAAAATTCCTGTTAAACATTTACACTAAATCTGCTTTTGCTTTTTCTGGTCTTTTTTTTCTTGAACTCTCCTCCTCTTTCTCGACTTCTTCACGCTCACAAATTTCAGAGCAGATCTCAAGACCGACATGTTTGCAAAATTCATTGAGGAACACTGTTATTTGCATTGAGGAAAAGACGCTTAAGAAGTAGATTGATCGATTGTTCGATCGATCGATCGATCGATCAATTGATTAGATATTTGAAGCTAAAAATTGAAATGTAATGAAAATAGAAATATTTATTGATTACAAAAGAACAAAACTAGTTTATTATGCAGGCGTTTGTGCTGCATGATTTTAGCTATATTGTCTATGCCTGTTCATTTGGATAGCGAGCGAAGTCTCAGCAAATGAAATGCAAAACTAGAGCGACGAGACGTAATTTAAACCTTCTCAAATGGTTTTCCGTTTTTTCAATGTTAAAAGAGGTTTATTAATCTGTTAAAATTGACAATGGTAGTGGTTGCACTGCGCAATATACATGTTAATTACCATCACCGAGTCATGGCTTAGGCCAGATCACCCTGATGGTTTGATCGCAATAGATGGCTACACACCCTTCAGAAAAGACCGCCCTGGCAGGCGGCGTGGAGGTGGCGTTGTCATCTATTTGAAGTCATCCATCTCATCTCAAATTCACATCGTTCCACCTCATGCTGTCAATGATACACTGGAAACCCTTTGTCTCAAGTGCATTATTGACAGTGAACCATACATCATCTGTGCCATCTATCATCTATCAAATGAAGTCTCCACCATGATGTGTTATATCAATGAACTCTCTAACACTGCGCTGGGGAGCGACTCAAAACTCATCATTGGGGTTGACTTCAATCAACTCGACCATTATTCCATCCTTCAAACAGGTCTACACCCTATATTCTGGGGTCCCACCCACCAAGGTCACAACCTTGACAGAATATATGGGATTAATGTAAACCTGGATATCACTTTCACTTACAGGCCGCATGTTTCAACACATCATCTTGGGGTGGTTGCTGCTCCTCCACCTCCACCAACTAACTCAACATCAAGAAACAACACCACTAGACAATTCATCTCATTTCGCAGAGTATCGCCTGCTTTCAATATCTCAACAACATCAACTTCAATAATATATTCGACTTCAACATCACCAACACCGACCATTCTTCGCTAGAAATTTCTAACAATAATACAATTAATCTTGATAATAATAATATTTACCATATTAATAATCGTAATAATGATAATAATTGTAATAATAATAATAATATTAATAATAGTAATAGTGATAATAATTGTAACAATATAAATAATATTAACATTAGTGCCAATGATAATAATAATAATAACAATATTAACAATAATATGATCTCAGCAAACTCTATTGCCAATTTTTTGCAACATTGTTTTGATAAATTCTATAAAATCATTAATTCAACTTACAGTAGGTACTACCCAGCATCAAACATCACGCTTAGATCATCAGATCCTCCATTTATCAGCCCATTCATCAAATTTTTACTTCGCCAAAAAAATAAACTCATGAGATTAGGATCCACCCTCAAAGCCGCAGCGATCACCAAATATATCAATAAACTCATTATAAACTTCAATTCAAAAACATTCACTAATAGTAAGCGTGGAAGCAAAGCCATGTGGGAACAAGTCAACAAGATTAGAGGCTCGGAGAAATCACTCAACACATCAACCGTGCAGCATATTGATGCCAACACACTCAACGCCCACTTTGCTTCCATGTCAACCGACCAGTCCTACAAAATTCCACCAACAAAAGCTACTGCAATCAATAGTCATCAACACCAACAATTTACACCATACTCCGTCTTGCACATGCTAACGAAGGCTTGCCCATCCGGTACATGTCCAGACGGTCTACCAGCATGGTTTCTACAAATCATCGCTCCATTCATCTCCAGCACCTTATGTTCACTCTACAATCACTGCTTAATTCATTCATTCATCCCATCACAATGGAAATCCAGCACAATCCATCCAATTCATCGTTAGGTCATTCATCTATCCATGTTTCAACCATACATCCATCAAACCACTATTACAAGACCAGTTCGCATTTCGACCAACAGGCTCATCTACATCCGCTATCCTCTCTCTTACTTCCACAATAACATCTTTCCTTAAAAATAATAATTATGTTCATCTTATTGCTCTTGATTTCTCTAAAGCTTTTGACACTCTCAATCACTTCTCACTTTCAATTAAGTTAGCCTCTCTTCCATTACCTGACAACATTTACAATATCATAATTAATTTCCTATCTAATAGGAGTCATTCTACTCTTTTTAGCTCTACTCTTTTATCTACTCTACCTATTAACTCTAGCGTAGTTCAAGGTTCTGTCCTTGGCCCATCTACCTTCATCATCAAGACTCTTCTACTCTCAATACTTTCCATAGCTCAAATCAAATCATCAAATACGCTGACGACACCTACCTTATCACCCCATCATCTAGCTCAAACACCATCCAATCAGAGCTCGACTCATTAACTACATGGTCTAAACGATGCAATCTTTCACTTAATCTCAATAAATCATTTGAACTCATCATTCACAATAGCCGTAAAAAAATAACATTACCTCCTGAACACCCATCAATCACTCGCACAAATCAACTAAAAATATTAGGCATCATATTCACCTCCACACTCAATATAGCACCTCATATCAATTACATCATCACAAAAGGCTTTCAAACATTTCACGCACTCAAAACACTCCGTTCACATGGTCTCAGAGGCGTCAAATTATTCGACATCACCGAATCACTCATCATCTCACGCATCAAATATGCAGCTCCCTCCTGGTCTAGTTTTGCCACGCAACAACAACTTCAGCAGCTACAATCTCTCATCAAAAAATTAATTCGCTTCAACTACCTACCTGCATCATATCCTACCATCACTCAGATATTCAACACACTCGATTCAAGGCTGTTCAAGAAAATAGAAAATAACAACAACCACGTCATCCATCCTCTACTACCACCAATCAAAACTACAATACACAACCTTCGTCAGCGCAAACATAAATATCAAGTCGTCGCCCAATCTACCTACCAGGAAAAGACCTTCATCACAAGACACCTCAAACATATTAGCACTTAAGAAAACTTCATCATTACTGAACTAGTTTTTACTTATTGATCACCTCACTTTTATCGATCACCTCACTAAGTCATCATTTAGTCTATTAATAAGTCACCAAATATATTAATACTCATTAAACTTTTTCACACACAGGCCTATCCTTATCTATCGATCACCTCACTAACCCACTAAGTCATCATCTATTCTATCAATTTGCCGTTACTTCATTTTATATTCCATCGTCAATTACTTTTCTTTTATTTGTTTTATTATTATTTATTTTATTCTAACATATTTTATCTTTCATGTTTTATCATTTCTCTTCCTCACTTTTTGTATTTATTTTCTCACTTATTTGTTTAATTTTGTTTCACTGCCTTGCATGTTGTTACCGTTTCTGCGTCTGTCAGATCCTGATTTTTAAAGAATAATAAAAAAGAAAAGAAAAGAAAACGTCGAATTTGGTGTACGCTTCTCACACCTTTTAGCGTTTGAACGTCGAATTCGCAGTGCGATTAGCATGCCCAATAACTAAAATCAAAAATTTAAAAATACTAATTTTTATTTTTTAACAAAATAAGCAATTATTCGACCTTACACGTTGATTATATTAATGGCATACTACTGACGTTTGATGCTGGTACCCATCTTTCTATGTCCACCCCGGTGGGCCATCCTCCGGCTCGCCTTTGTAGTCGTAGTTGCTGACTGTTGCTAGCTTCACGGCCGTAATTGTTTATTTAATTTTACATTTCATTTATGTCTATTTTCTGTAAAACTTTTTTGTTTTTAACCTTTTATAAAATTTCTATTTGTATTAAATTTTTGGTATTTATAATTTTTTTTATTGCTGCGTAAGTCATTTTTAAAATTTTTTATTAACAGATCTGTTTTTTTATTGCTGCGTAAGTCATTTTTAAAATTTTTTATTAACAGATCTGTTTTCAACTATGAAAATGAAATATAAATATAAAGTAGTGTAAAATTTACACTGTATGTAAATTGTAAAGTAAAGTAAAAATAAATCAAAATCCTTGTGTTGATTCATCGACTGACTACAATATCTTTTTTTATTTATTTAAATATCTTGGGTAAAACGTGAGATTTTTTTTTTATTAGTCTTTATTATTGCAGCTCTGACATATGCAGAACCACTTACAATGTTACAGATATATTATTATTTATTTATTATGTTCTTCATATCTTCAACCAATAATATGAAGCAGCCATCTTTCGCCACAAAGGCTGTTTTATCCTGTTCACACGACGTACACATGTATTTTATGTGCACATGCAAGCACCGCATCATATACGATAAGTATATGATAGCCATTGAGATGTTTGACTCAGTGCACATTTGAACCACTGAGCCACCTTGCCGGCCAACATGCGACAACTTATGTCGTCTACCCATTTACCAGCCTCGAAAGGATGGACGGCTGGGTTGACCGGGAGTCGGCTACCCGGATGAACCTGTAGAAACTGCAGAATTCGAACCCGAATCGTGGGAGTGGTAGACAGACACGCTAACCACTCGGCCACTAGACCCCTAGACGAGATTTTGAATTATCTAGCACTTGATTTTAATACAAGTTAATTCTTAGGTAAGTTTTTTAGATCATTATTTGTCAATGTCAAATATCAATGGTTTATGGAGTGGTTAACAGGGTTAGGGTTAGGGCCTCCATTTTTAACAAAAATGTTTAAAAATTTTAACCACTCCATATTTGTGAAATGATTGAAAATTTTGTTAAAAAGGGAGGTCCTAACCCTAACCCTGTTAACCACTGAATAAGCCATTGATTGTTATCAAATCAGAAATTTACTCATATTTTAACTTTTTTTTATTTAATGTTCACTATTTCAACTATTTGACAAGTAATGATCTATAAAAACTTACCAAATTAAATTATTTTAAATTTGATATAAATAAATAATCAAGCGCTAGATAATTCAAAGTGGGAGGAGTTAATTTATTAAATGTACATTATGATTGTTTGTAAACATGGATCATACCATAGGAGTACCCATTTCCCGTTTTACCAATATCTTGATCCTGTTGAAAACCATGAATTGCCTGAATAGTTTAAAAATGCATGTTGAATAGGAATGGTGACGGAGAGTGATCTAGTAGTGTTAATTAAACATACACTTTATTTTATTAACACATTATTAATGATTAATCATTAATAATGATTATATTATTGACACAACTATTATGGTTATCTTATTTATATAATATGTATGTAATGTATGTATGAGTTTCATATGTATTACTATTAACATTTACAATCATGATACTGTATGAGTGTATGCATTAATACATATATATAATAAAAGATATTTCTTATATACCTATAGTATATTATATACATATATATATATATTAAGTAAATATTTATTATTGGACCAATGATATACAAATTGTTTACTAATTTATATATATACCAATGGTTCGTTGTAATTGTACAATAATCAGATACTACTGACTCAAAACGCCATCCACTGCTTTTCAACGTTCAATTTTAAAATGTTTTGAAATATTAGATCGTTTTCCTGAAATTTTTTCATATATTTATGTAATTTTTATGGCCTGTTCAAAGACTTTAAAATCAGTTTTACCGAATGGGGACTACAGAATCAAAATTCCCCCAACTGATTTTTTTTACCAAAGGAATTTTGTGGAACGACGTGTTAATATTTTATCCGAATTAAAATAAAATGTTGAAAAACAGTTGGGGGTATTTCGGATCTTCAGTGTTCATCCAGAAAGATTGATTAGATAGGCCATTTAAAGCTACACAGGTGGTGTAAACAAATTACTGGGGAACGACCTATACATTTTGTAAAATGAATTGAAATGAAATGCTGGAAATCAATTAGAGAACACTTTCGCCCTGCAGTTCCCATCCGATCAGATTGATTTTAAGGTCGCTGATTAGGCCAGACAAAACTACACTAGTCGTGTGAAGGAATTTCTAGCGAACGACCCATTAATATTTTTAAATGAAATGTTAAAAATCGATTGGGGGCTTTTCGACTCTGTCGTTTCTATTTGATTAGATTGATTTTAGTATCTTTGAAAGTCGTAGACCATAATAAATGTTATATAAGTGGTTTATAGAAGTTCGGCGCAGCTCTTACTTTTTTCAGCATCTCGAGTTTTTTTTTGTTTATATTCGTTGGTTTCAGGTTCATTTTAACTTTAGCTTAATTATGCAGGCCCTCGTTATTTTTTAGGTTTCGGTGTTCGGTTTCAGTTCGACTGACAAAACAAAATTTTTGGTTTCAGTTCAGTTCTCCTAATCTTTTCTAAATGTTGCCGCGCTTAACTGCTTTTTACGTAATTGTACTGTCAATGAATAACAATTGGGTCGTTGGTTTACAACGAAGGAGCAGTTTTTTAATAAAAGTCAGAAAAAGGACCGTTTTATGTGTAAAACCGACCAAAAATTGAACGTGATAAGCAAAAAAAGACGTCAACACGTCAGCCACACAACCGCAAATCTTGGCTCCTCCGTGAAAATTTCGGTCACTCCTTCTGAAAATTTAATCGCTTTCAAATTTTCAGAGGTACACACATCGCACACAAATATGAAAAAAATTATGCATCACACACATCTCGCTTATAAAAAGCAGTAATCTTTTTTTGAAGTGACTTTACAAAATAATCAAAAGCCATTTCGACAAAACCAGAGTTCATAAAAGTTTTTTTTTCATATAATATTGCATCTGTTCTCCATTCTTAGGTCATCATATTTAAAATTAATTACCCTTTTTAATTTATTAAATATTTGTTTCTGGTAAATTAAATATCTTATACTTTTCAATTGATGATAATAAAATTTTACAGGGCGAAAGAGAGAGTGGGAGATTGCAGAGATGAAATTTTTCATTATACGTGGTTTATTGGTGTTTATTTCTTTATATAATGATGCATATAGTTTTTGTTACATGGACACCTTTTTAAAGGAAACAAATGGTTTTCACAGGTTAGCAAAACTTTTCGCTTTTATTATAATTCTATTTGAAATTTGATTGAGAAATTAAATTTAACAATTCTTATTAACTGGCTTTGTTTTATTAATTCTATTTTTGTACACATACACAATGAATAAATTTTAAAGCAGTTGTATAAATGCTCATCAAGGCTGCTTGGACCTACAATACACAGGCATAACACAATCGGCATGTGATATGCGGGGACCCTTTTACAATCGAATCTAGTCATTGCAATTACAGTGCCAGACACTTAACTGTTACGCCATTACGCCGCTTATGTATATAAACCTGGCGATCCAACGTTTTTTAAAAGGAATCTGTGGGTATTAACAAAATTTTTGCATTTGAATAAAAGTAATTATTTAATTGAATGTTATAGGATTCATTTCTAATTCTTGCAAAATAGCAACAAAATAGCAACAAACGGTGAATTTGTTGGGAAAAAGCAATAATGAGGATGCCAGATACTTATGAAATTATTGTTTAAGGTTTAATGTTTGAAATTAAGTTAAAAGAAGGTTAAAGTTAATCTTTCTTTGTCACAAATGAGACCAAATCATGTTCAGTGCTTGCATAATGATAATATGGACTGGTATTCTGTAGTATGATAAACCTTATGTTTCAGAAATAAGTAAATCATTTTTACATGGCAATCTGTTTCAGATAATTTTTTTGACCAATGATTTTGGTAAATGATTTTTAACATATAAAAATGATTTTGCATTGTAATTAATTTAATTATTTTGTTTATAAAGAACTATTACATTTGACTTGAGATTTGATGTTGATGAACCTTTGAATGTTTTATTGCTTCAAAACATATCATCAAGTTTCTACGTTGATCCATACCAAATGAATTCTATGTTTCAGTCAGATGAACAAAAGGCAATTTAGTAACACTTTTTAGTAATGGCTATTTTTAATTAGTTTATTTTTTTTAGGTTCATTTACCGATTTCAATAGACATGGAAAAGTCAAATAGTCATTCAGAGGACTTTGAAATAATGATATTCAATAAGACATATAAGGATGACAGTTTGCAAAAGGTCACATTCTCTTTGCCAATACACGTTAGATATCATTTGCCATATAATAATGAACCATATAGAAAAATAATTCTGCCTCATCCTCAAGTCTTTGTTCTGGATACATCTGGTTAATGTTTAACTTTTTTTCGTTCGGTTGCTTGTATCAATTCATGTGATTTTATTCTCTGCATGTAAATATTTGTTAAGTTTCTTTTACTGCGAATAGGTAAGTTTGTGACCAATAAGAAAAACAGGTCATTATATCACTCTTGTAGGTGTTTCAGTACCAATATTTATTTCTATAAACTTTTATATAATTTTTTAGTCTAATTTTTGTTAAAATTTTCTCTCTCTCTCTCTCTCTCTCTCTCTCTCTCTATATATATATATATATATATATATATATATATATATATATATATATATTTCATTTCATTCATTTCAAAGTTTTATTTATAATCAACAACATATCAAATAAGTGAATAAAAGTTATGAAGTTGAATATGCGGAGACCGAATAAGACTGTTTGTATTGTGGTGGCCACCGCTGGTAGATACATGAATAGTTAATGAAATAAAATAAGGAAAATAACTGAAGCAGAAAGATAATTGAAGATAAATAAGTAAATGTTCGTGTCATACATATATAGACATATAACTATGTAAATGTTCGCTCAGTACATATATAAACACATAAATGTTTAACCATTCATAAAGACCATTCATCCGCATCATTTGTTCTAACGTATTCTTAAAATAGTATTAGATGGTGGAGTCGAGATCCAGTGTCAATAAAAAAGCACGGAATTTTGACTTGAAATGTTGTAGGTTTATGTATGGCTCTTATATGGGGAGGTACAAGTTCTGTCCAAATTTTAGGACCTGTTATTTTTATGCTTGTCTGGATTAATTTGAGGCGAGTTTTGTAGATATAGAAGAGAGGGGTGTGTCTAGTGGTTGTAGATTGAACGGAGTTACTTGACGTGTAGAAGTTGATAAAGTGAGGTGGGAGAAGATTGTTGATAAATTTAAAAACGAATAAAGCAGAGTAGTAAAGACAGAACAAGTTGAGTGGTAAAATTTTTTTGCTAGGAAGAAGGGTTTAGTATGAGAAAAAGTATGAGAAGGGTTTAGTATGAAATTAGTATATATATATATATATATATATATATATATATATATATAACGGATAGAGACTGTCAAAAATGCAATTATTGATGAAAATCACAGCATGTTCGGCGTTAGTTAACTTCCAATTTAACTTGTTGATTTTTCTAATGGTTGATCGTAAGTCATTTTCAAGTTTTTTGAGTTCAAAACCAAAATTTTTGTTTATTTTATGCTTGATAGAACAAAAAAGCTTTTTTCGGTATTTCTATACCATCTTTACAAACAACAACAACAATAACAATATTTTATTTGGCCACAAAATTTGATGAAAAAATCAAGGGCACGGGATGGCTGTGAGGAGTCTTTGAGACTTATCAAGCACAGCCACCTTTTCAAAATATGATATATAATTGTCAGTTTCATATACATATAATTGTCATATATATAATTGTCAGTTTCTTATACACATTGTTATAACCGTGCTACCAAACGTACTAGAACATTCTAGAATATGCTAGAATCGGACCATCTAGAAGAATCTAGAAACGACGCTTGCGAAGAGTATATAAGCGCATGTCGCAAGAAGATTAGCGATTAGTGAAATTCGTGATTTTGTAAATAGCGATTTTGTGAATAGCGATCCGGTGAATTATTTAAAGCGATATTTGATTTGTCATAACGATAGATTTTGAACAATTTAAAAGTTAATTGTTGTGTTAATTTGAATTTGCTAGAAATAAACGATTAGTTTATTTCTTCTGTAAATAAAGTTTAATAACTAATAACTGTTTGGAGTATTTTATTCAATCGAAGATTCGAACCCGTCGCATCGTAAATCGGTTACGACAGCGAGTATTATAACATTGGTGTCAGAAGTGGGATCTTCGACCAGCGAATTACTACTCATAGAAAAAGAACACGATGTCAAAACTGTGTGGTTTGAACGTAGTTCAGCTACGAGAAGAACTACAGAAACGAAGCCTTGTCACAAGTGGCAACAAAGAAGTACTAGTAGCACGTCTGAGAGAAGCTCTCATTGACGAAGGTAAGAACCAGACGAATTTAAGTTTGATGGTGCTGACGAAGACAATGAAATTAGCACAGGCACGTTTACAACCGCTAAAATGATGGAACTTCTGCTTACTATGTCAACTGAAATGAAACAGATCAAAGAACAGTCCGAACGACAGTCCGAACGACAGACAGAAGAGTTAAAACAACAGATCAAGGAACAGTCCGAACGACAGGCAGAGGAGTTAAAACAGATCAAGGACCAGCTAAAACACGTAAAATTGGAAGTGGCAGAACAGATTGAAGAACAGTCAACAAGAATAGAAATGATCGAGCAGAAACTTGATCGTCAGACCGTTGAGGTAGATCACAAGATAGACAAATTGAAGCGAGAATTGGAGCAATCCAAAAAAAATGGCCATGCCGTTAGATCACGCATCCGGAAGAACTTTGAAGGTACTAGCATTTGACGGAGAGATGTCCTGGAACGTTTATAAAACCCAGTTCGAAGCAGCGGCAACTAGTAACTGTTGGAACGGAAAAGAACGAGCAACAGCACTGATACTGGCTCTGCGAGGTTCAGCAGCAGAGGTTCTTCTGACGATTCCGGCGGAGAACCACTTCAACTATGAAGTAACGTGGTTAAATTTGAGACCTCCAACAATCAATTTGGCTGCTCTATTCTGAATGGATTGAATTGCAGAAATAGACCTATCTGGCAAATATATATATATATATATATATATATATATATTATTATTACGGAAATTTATATACAGCGCTTTTTTATTGTTGAATCTCAAAAGCGCTACTAAATCATAGACAAATAAGACTGACATTCATTGTGCAAATAAATAAGTTTTAAGTTGACTTCGAAATTGTAAATATGATAGGCTAGGTATGATATGATATGATATGATATATATATATATATATATATATATATTTGAACATCTGGGCACATTCACAACATATTATTTTGAACTCCGAAGATGGTATACGAATACCGAAAAAAAGCTTTTTTGTTCTATCGTGTATAAAATAAACAAAAATTTTGGTTTTGAATTAAAGAAATTTGAGAATGATTTACGATCAACTGTTAGAAAAATCGAAAAGTTAAACAGGAAGTTAACTAACTCCGAACATGCTCTGATACTGTAACGTTTATAGTCTCTGTAAAGAACACTACAGTTTGGTTCGTTAATATGTTTGCATGTTATGCACGGTGCTTGGCAAGTGGGATGTGCTTTGCAGGAGGTGATCGAGCCTGATCAGTGCAAAACCGCTTCAACATTTCTTTGCACACGCCTTAGTCACCAACGACTATCTAATTTTTATTATTCACAAAATTTTTAAAGTTTAATTTAGATGCATAAAATTGTTACAGTTTCTTCGGTCGCTTTGCCTTGCTACGAAGACTTAACAACTAATTGCGGTTGGATGCCTGTGGAATGCAATAAAGTAAAAAATTTTTTTCACGTTGCTAAATGTTATTTCAATCATCGTATGTCGGTATCGGAATTTCAGTGCAGCTACATCTTAATTTAGCTTAATTTTATCTTTTATTATTTTTTATGTGATTCTTTATAGCGACAGTTTGTACGTGCATTGTGTGTATATATATATATATATATATATATATATATATATATATATATATATATATATATATCCCGATTTGTAGCATAAAATGTAAACGATGCACAATTTTTTCACTTCCACAGCAAAGTTAATGTTTAGAATTTTGTTTTTATAATTATAACTTATTATTCTAGATAATTACAATCTGCTAATTTTTAAATTTTTACATTGTTTTGTTTTTCAGACTTCCGATGAATTTATTTTCTATGTCCCTATTGGATTGGACAAGCACTACGAACTTGTTTTTACTGTAACTTATTTGGTTGTTATTTCTTGCGTGGTAGCACTTTTATTTAGCCTGTGTTCAAAGAACTCGAAGCGAAAAATTATTTAGTTTTTGTATGCATTTGCTTATGTTGTGAAAAAATGTTAGATTTTTTGTTGTGTTTAATTTTTACTGACTTTATTTCTGAATTTTTGGTCTTCAACTAAATCAACACTAGTATAAATTTTTGTAAATATGCTCAAAACCTTCTCCCTTATATAACTGCCGATGCTAAAAACATCACAGTTTTACCATCCTGCAGAGTGTCATGTAGCAGTTTTGGGAGAACTTCCGCACAAACCATCGGTTGTTATCTTTTGCAAAAATAAGTATTGGCTTTTTTAACTCTTCCTGATTTGACACACAATTTTTCCATGCGATGCGAATAATGCGTCGTAGACAGCGCATGTGAAAACTATTCAATTTATGCTCTACTATAGAGCAAGGTACTCAAAATACACGTGCTGTAGACAAGTATTTTGTTAGCTGTAGTGAGTTTGGTATTTTCCCAAACATGGTTTGAATGTTTTGCCATGACTCCTGAGGCCTTTGCAATTCGTCTTGAAAGTTCATTGTTCAGATTTAAGTTGCTTGTGAATGTTGACCCAAGATACGTAAATTGATTACCACATTAAGAGTATGGTACCTGGCATTGTTGATGCAGTGTCCGGGTTCGAATGCAAAAAAGATCCCCGCCTTTCACATGCAAAAGTGTGTAATGCGTTGATTCACATGTATTTATGCACCGTGTGTTTGTTGTAATAATGATAATGCGCCTCAGTCGCTTGCCATGGCGCTATATAAAATGACATTATTATTATGTTGATTACCGGTAATTCGTTTCTACCTTGGGCAAGTATTTCAGTTTTAGAAAGTCTTATGGAAAGCCCAAATTTTCGACATGCATTAATCAAGGCATCAATGAGATTTTGCAGTCCCTCCGATGGGTGAGATACTAGAGCAGCAGCATCTGCAAACAACAGCTCTCTAACAAGAATGCGTTTTCTTTTTGTTTTAGTTTTAAATCGAGCCAAGAATAAATAATTTACCATCAGACCTACAGTAGATGTATACTCCATCTTTCGTGGTATCGAAAACAGTAGCAAGGACTACAGAAAAGAAGATACCAAAGAGTGTTGGCGCCAAAACACATCCTTGTTTCACTCCACTGCTTATGGGAAACGATCCAAAAACAGATCCTTCAAATTGCGCAACGCTCATGGAGGCTTTTACCATTCCTAACAGTTTAGATGGACAACCAATTCAAATCTTATAGATTGAACAGCATTTGCTCAGTGTCACCGCATTTAATTTAATTTCTTTTTTAATCATTCCTTTAACAGTATCAGCATAACTATTTTTTAAACTAATTTCAACATTATTGATTATCGGGGCAACATTGTTAACCGACCTGTCTACTTCAGTAATTTTGTCAGTCATTGCATTTAATTTGGTGTCAGTTGAACTTTTTGAATTGACTAAACGAATTTCAACATTTTCGACTGACCAAATTCAGTAACTTTGTTAGCCATTTCATTTATCTTGACATCAATTAAAGCCATTTCACGACGGAAGTTATTTTGTTGTTCAGAAAGCTTTCCTAAATCCAGAACTCATTGTGAGCTTTTTGTAAATCACATGCAATTGACAAAAATTTGAAAAAGCCACATCAAAACAAATGTTAAGTCTCATTTTTAAAAATAAATTGGAAGAAGGCAACAACGCTTTTTTTCTCACGCTGTCACAGTGTCACCTGAAGAACGAAGTTTTAGTAAACTCAAAATCATCAAAAACTACATGAACTACAATAGAACAGGAAAAACTATTAATCCGTGTATAATACCAATTGAACACAAATGAAATTCCCTGATTAATTTTTATAATATAATCGTTACATTTGCAGTTAAGACGGCTAAAAAAATTTATTTTATGTGCTATACAAAACAATTCTTTGAAACGTTGCAATACAAAGCTTTTCAATTTACAATTAATGTAATTGCATTATAATTGTTTTTTAATGTTATATATTTTTTTATGTATTAACATATAGTATATCAATGTTTTTATAAAAATTAAAACATTTAAATAGCAGGCTTGTGGTGGGTTATTTAAACAATGGCTTACGGTAGTATAATAACAATTGTTTTGTGGTGAGAAGGGGCGGCAAACTGATCTTTGCTTCCCCCCCTTGACAAATCTCATAATTTAGGTCACCCAGGGTTTCCTAAAGCTTTACTTGTTTAAAAGAGGGCGTGGATACAATTTATGATATCTATGTAACTGGATCAAGGTAGTTTGAGAAGCAGATCACTGGGATTTAGCCAGTTTATCGTTTTCTAAGCTCTAATATCAAATTTGATTACTCTTATTTTGATAAAATTGCGTTCCGAAATAGAAGGTTTGTTATAGTGACCATAAATATTAAGTGGCGTATACACCACAGGCTCAAAAGCTTTCTTAAGCTAGGGTCCCGTGAAGTAAAAGGATTCCTAAAGATTAAAAAAAAGTTGAAAATTGTATATTCAATCAATGCTTAACACATTATTTTTAATTGCTTCCAGATCTACGCAAGTTCTATATTTCAATTAAATTCGCCCAAGTCAACAATAATCGTTATCGGAATACTTTTAAAAAAGGTTTTACGTATAAATTATAATAAATAGGTGTCGTTAATCAGATGTCACTCTTGCTTACAGTAAAAGTAAAGTATATTTGGAAAAAAATGACTTGCAAATTCCAGCAACAGTATTTCTGACCACATTGTTTGTACAGTATATATATAAAACCTATGTACATATGTGTATAAAACAGAATAAAATAGTTTGGTTGCCGGATGCATACCGCCGCAAGCTTTCCGAGCGTTTAGTGTTTTGTTTTGCCGATGTGTCCGACGACCCTTTGTGATGAAAATTATTTGTTAATTGCAAAAGCTATATTAAATCTGATATTAATTTATTCTTTTAGTCATGAAGACCGTTTTGATGGTTGCAGAGAAGCCCTCATTGGCGCAATCTTTGGCCAAGATCATTAGCAAAGATAGTATGAATAGCAGGAAAGGATTCAACGGTGCCTGTTCAATACATGAATTTTCCACGACTTTTCCGCCGACTGAGGAATTTGCAAAATTCAAGTTCACATCTGTGTGCGGACATGTAATGGGCTTAGATTTTTTTGGCAAGTATAATGCTTGGGACAAGGTTGATCCAGTAAGTAAAAATACAGTAATTATAATACTATAATTATAATTAGATTAAATTAAATTATAATTATAATAACCATAATCACGTCATAGTATAAGTATACAATACATCTTTATTTTATACTTATTTTACTATTATGTAATTAGTGTACTGTAGCTATTCTGTTTTCAATATAAAAATTTAATTAAAAATTAATTAAATTCATTAATAAGTTTAATATTAAAATTAATGAATTAGGCTTACAATGAAACTCATGTTGTGAACATTACTTTTTTATTGTGAAAATAGTACTCAAAACAGAATTGATTTATCCTTGACAAGAATTCCATTCTATAATTTATAATACATTTTATGACAATTTGATAAAAATTAAAAAAAGGTCAAATTTTATTAGTATTTTTCAAGGTGGATACTTTTTGTTTCTAAATAACATTATTTCTAGTATGACAATGTTGTATTTCAATATTCTATCTACACTCACTTTGTAAAACTTTTTATTCAATAGGCTGAACTTTTTGATGCCCCAACATTGAAAAAAGAGGCTACTCCAAGTTTGAAGATGCCCAACTTTCTTGAAAAAGAAGTGAGGCTATTAATTTTATTACATTTATTATTTATTATTATATTAATATCAGTTTCAATTAAGAATGTTGTAATGACAGAATTTTAGTTTGAGTTTAATGCCAAAATTATACTTTCAATTGAGTTCAATTTCAAAGCCATAGAACCTCTAATGAATTATTTTTTTTTTTAAATTTTGACTGATGCTATTTATCATTTAAAGTGCTGGCAGTCAGTTTAATGTATTGATTTTGTGTGGCAAGCATTTGTTAAAATTTAAAAAAATACTGAACTCGGACCATCCTAATGACTGCTATTCATTGTCTTTAGGTAGAAAAGTAATTTTTAAATGCTAGCCTCTTCTATTTTATTTAGTTCTAAATATAAAAATTTATTTTTTAAACATCTTAAAGTTATCTTTACACCACAAAACAACACTTTTTATTTAATTATTTTAGATTAATGCAGATGAACATAAAATATTGTTTTGACAAATTTTTTAATTTTTAAGGCTAAAGGCTGTGATTATTTGGTGTTATGGCTGGATTGCGATAAAGAGGGAGAGAACATTTGCTTTGAAGTTATTGATGCCGTCAGATGTGCAATCAATGTAGATGTTAATTTTAAAAAGGTATCAATGTTTTTTATTGTCAAATAAATAAATAAATAAATATATATATATATTATTATTATTAATATTAATGAAACATTTATAAGCGCTAATTAAAATCAAAAAGTTCTCAAAAGCGCTATCTATAATCAAACAAAGTCAAAAAAGAAAAAAGTACAGTCAATGGCGGTAGTAACAAACAAATAATTATTCACTTAATAACAAAATCAAAGCGAAAATAAGTAAGTTTTAAGTTTCTTTTTAAAATCATCAAGTTTCAAATCTTTAGTTCTAAAAGATCTCGGTAAGCTGTTCCAAACTATTGGTCCAGATACTGCAAAATCTCTTGATGCTATCTGCAGATTGACATCAGGTACAACCAGCAAAATGCCATCATCTGATCTAAGGTTCAAACCACTCATCATTATAGACTTTTCTTTTATTTTATCTATCAAATAACTTGGTAACAAGCCATGCACAGTTTTATACATTAAAATACATATTTTATATTTAATTCTTTTCTTTATAGTAAGCCAATGAAGGCTCTTAAGAATTGGAGTAACATGGTTAAATTTGAGACCTCCAACAATCAATTTGGCTGCTCTATTCTGAATAGATTGAATTGCAGAAATAGACCTATCTGGCAAACCGTAAAACAGACAATAGTCCAATCGTGAATGAACCAATGCATGCACCAAGGTATGAATAGCAGATTTATCTAATGACTTACGGAGTTTATAGAGTTCTCGAATCTGTCCGGAGCAAGAATTTGTTATCATCTTAATCATCGATAATCTAGAATCAAGAATGAAACCCAGATTAGTTGCTTTGTCACTAAATTCTATTTTAACATCTCCTATTTTCACTGAATCGATATTAAGTTTAATCAGCTGCTGCCATGTACCTATTGGAACAAATTTTGACTTCTGCTGATTTAATCTAAGACCATTGTTTGACATCCAATTATCTATGTTATTTAGGCAGGTTACAAGTTTCAAGAATATCATCGTTAGTTTCACATTTATTGTGAACAAAAGTCTTGCAACAAGTGCATGACAACAAATCTTTACTTGGAACTTTTATTGTACATTTCGTACAACAGTAGCGACTACCGGACGACATTATTGAATTTATTATTATAATTAATTACGCTTACTATCAGGGAAATTCTTATCACGTGACAGCAATTTACAAACAATATATTATCAAATTTCACTAAAATAATGAATTTTACAAACTAAATTTTATATAAAATTATTCAAAAATCTAATTATGTTAATCTATCCAAAAAAATATCAATAAACGATTACTTTTAACGACGAAAACACCAAAATTAACTGACGAAACGACAATATCAACCGTCCAAACGACTGTCCAAAACATATATATATATATATATATATATATATATATATATATATATATTTGTGCTCAGACTGTTATCAATATACAGTTATTAAGAAATATCACCACATTTTCAGCAGAAAATGTATTGATTAATATATACATATGTATATATATATGTATATTTCAAAATATATGTATATATATATATAAGGCTGGTAGAAGATAAACACTAATAAATCGGTGGAATTTCACTAACTCACTAAGTCATCATCTAGTCTATTAATGTACCTTTTTATGCCATTACTTCATTTAATTGTCAATTTATTTTTTTTTTCTTTAATTTATTTTATTATTATTTATTATTTATTTTATTCTATTTTATTTTACTTTCCATGTTTAAACATTACATTATTCTTTCTCCGTTTTTTTATTTATTTACTTATTCGTTTAATTTTATACTACTGCCTTGCATGCTGTTTCTGCATCTGTCAGATCCTGATTTTTAAAGAATAATATTAAAAAAATAAAAATTAATAATGTTTGTTTTTAAATGATTTAAGCATTTAACTATTATTTAACAACATTTAAAATTTCACCATTTTTGACAGACAGTTTTCAGGGCAAAGTTTAGTGCAATAACAGAAAGTGAAATAATGAGAGCATTTTTCAACCTTGGACATCCAAACAAAAATGAAGCATTGTCAGTTGATGCTCGCCAGGAGTTTGATCTCAGAGTGGGATGTGCTTTCACCAGATTTCAAACCAAATTTTTTCAGGTGCGTTAGTTTTTATTAACCACATTTTACACTTGGAATTGGAGATGTTATAAGGCCGTCATAATAATTGAAAACAATTATTGCTGCATATTTAGAAGTGCCGATGTTAATATATTGGATAAATAAATAAATAAATCTAAGTTCCCATGATTAGGTTTGTCGCTTTCACAACATGATTTCTTTTTTTCACATTTTCTTAACTGGCACCTAACGCGGTCTAATTTCATTTTGCTCAAATGTTGATAACCCCTCCAACCTGATCAAGCTTGTCTGCCGCTGGTCTGAAAGGAATGAGGAGGTTGGTTGGAGATATATTAAACAATGAGGAAAACGGTGAAAGATGCAGAGATGTAGACTGTCTGAGTGCAAGGGTAGAAACAAATTTAAGCTTTATGAAGTTGGCCTAACTTTCTTCAAGTGCTGCTTGACAGAAAGATGCAAAATAATTAATTGTAGCAAAAGCTTTGAATCTTTGATTGATAATACGATCTTAATTTTGCTTGTTTTGTTGTGTTGTTCTAGACATTGAATGAGGATTATAAAAACCATTGCTTTCTAAACCAATATTTTTCAAAATAAAATTTGTACAGTTGTCTTCCATATTACTTCAAAAAATTTTTTACTTTTGCTGGGTTCTTTAATGTCATAAAAGTTAACACTTTTAAAAGATATTCCACCATCGTTTTCTTTAACACGATTAGGACAAGTACGGGGATTTGGATAGTACTTTAATTTCATTTGGACCTTGCCAAACACCAACGTTAGGTTTTTGTGTGGAAAGACATGACAAGATACAATCTTTTAAGCCAGAGCCCTTTTGGATTATCTCTGCAACGGTTACTGCTAACAACAAATTTTAATTATTTTTATCGAACTTCCATAATTCGTTTCGCAACATTCGATTTTTTATTTGGTTGTCTTTCTAATGCCTTTTTTTTGCTGATTTATTCCCGACTTGTTTCCAGTTGTGCCTTGATGGAAAACTGTTGAACGTGGATTGGGACAAAGGCCACGTCTTCGACAAAGAGATTTCTCAGCTGTTTCTCAGCATGGCCAAGAAGTTCGGCAGCGCTAAGTACGAGGTTTTGCAGCATAACAAGCTTTAAACCTTAATAAAATTTTGTGCCTTCATCTGAACATATTTTTTCAACAGATTAATTGATATCCAAAGAAAAGAGAAAACAAAATCCAGACCTCAAGCACTCAACACCGTTGAAATGTTGAGAGTTGCCAGTTCTGGATTGGGTTAAGTTGAAAATTGTTACAGTTGTATTGGAAGTTGCATAACGTTTTCTTTATTTGACTTCCAGGAATGAGTCCACATCACACAATGCAAGTTGCTGAACGTTTATACACACAGGGTTACATAAGCTACCCGAGAACTGAAACTACCTCTTATGCAGACAGTTTTGATCTTATGTAATTGTTTATTCATTATGTGATTAATATTTCTTTTTACAACTCTCTTTTTAATATTTCCAAGAGTTATCTACAAAAACTCAGTGTGTGTAAATACACGTAAGTTAATGCATCACCCGCATTCATGCATTACAGCAGTGCCAGGTGCCTTAATAATTACACCCTCACGTCGTCCAACTTTAAATGTTTTTTCTTTCATTAAACTTGGTTATATAAACTTATATTTATACGTTAAGAAAAATTTCAATGTGTTACAGTTTAAATCTTCAGGTTTATAATTTTAATAGATTTAAAATACTTTCATATAATTTTTTCCGTTTAGTTATTAATTATTGTTTCTATTGAGAAATTCAATATGGGTTATTCACTTTTCTTAATATAGAGGAGCATTGAAGTTGCAAATATCAAGTCCAGTGTGGGGGGCAGAGGTCAAACGTTTGCTGGATCACGGAATATTGAAACCGAAGAAAGGTCATGATGCTGGAGATCACCCTCCTATTACACCTATGAAGATGGCTACAGAAACGGATATTGGCAGTGAATATTGGAGATTGTATGATTACATAACGAGACATTTCATTGCCACTGTTAGCGTTTTAGCATGTTATTTTATTATTGATAGTTTCGAGAAAGTTTTTATACTTGATTCACGAATACTTTTCAATAATAATTTCAGATGTGTGATGATTGCAAATATCTGCTCACTACATTCATCTTCACGATAGGTAATGAAAAGTTTACTTGTTGCAATACAACTTTAGTGGATCCTGGGTATACAAAAGTTATGCCGTGGCAAGCTATCGCCGAAAATGATGTAAAAACTGAATTTTGCAAAGTTGGGGATATGTATAGCATTGAAGAAGTTGGCAAATTTTTCTAATTAATTTAAAATAATAATATTTAATGTTAACGCCATTAATATTGTGATCTTTTTTATTAAGTTAAAATTGGTGGAGAATCATACATCGGCACCAGATTATCTTACAGAGTCGGAATTGATATCATTGATGGAAAAGCATTGTATTGGGACTGATGCAAGTATTCCAGTTCATATCAACAATATATCAGAAAGAAATTATGTGACTGTTACTTCGGGAAGAAGATTGGTACCTACCAACCTGGGCATTGTGTTGGTTCATGGATATCAGAAGGTTAAATAGTTCCTGTACTTTTTTGGGCTTGTGAAATAATTATCATAGCATCATGGTCCCAAAAAATTATATTCCAGGTTTTTCCAAATCCAAATATCTATATCTATCAAACTCAGTAGCCATGGTTTGTCTTTGTTTTTGCTCTCTTTTTCTCTTCTTTCTCCTCTCCCTCCTTTTTCTCTCACTTTCTTACTTGCTTACTCTCGTCTGTTTTTCATATTTGTCCATTTCTGAAGACAGACTTCTTTAATTTTTAGCAATATATTTTTTTCAGTCCTATGTGAGTTTTTTTTTCAGACATTGAATAGCTTTTACACTGAAGTAGTTTCTCATGTGGTGTACTTCCTACGTATTGCAATTAATGATTGTTAGGGTAATAACTCAGAATTACCCAAACATTTTCCTCATTACATTCCTCATATTTGTCAGACTCATCAGAGTTACCAACTTTTTCAAATCTCTACTTCTGAAAACCTCTGCATCGTACTTGTGTAGTTTAGTGCTTTCATACATCCACATGTCAACAAGGTTTTCAACCCTGTCTGCCCAGGTTCTGTCATACTGAAACACCATTTATGGAAGAGTTCACCTCATTTTTGACAACGATTCTCCAACAAAACATTTTTCAAAGAATGCACATCGAAATTTCCTAGGTTCTTAACTATTTAACTCGACTCTAACCTACATCACTTTTTTCACTCATGTTTTCTGCTATTTTGTTTATTATTTCAAGTTTTAGTAACATTTTCGTTAATTTTCTAACCTTTTTTTGTATTTGCTGATCCATTGCCTGCTTTAACAACAGAGTTAGACACACCAATTCTTGACGGTTATTCAATTTCTTTTACTTGCCTTCTTCCATCATTTCCATAGTTCGACTGACTCACCCTCCAATACCACTGTCTCATTTAGACATTCAGTTGATTTATTTTTTTGCATTAATTTTGTTAAAGATTGATCACGATCTGGTGAAAGCAACTATGAGAGCATCTATTGAAAAACAGTTCAATTTGATAGCCCAGGGACAGGCTAATTTTGAAGAAGTTCTGCAGCATGGGATTCTTATTTTCAAAAGCAAGTTCAAATATTTTGTTGAACATATTAATCTCATGGACGAGCTGTTCGAAGTTAACTTTTCATCACTTGCTGACTCAGGAAAGCCACTTTCAAGGTGAAATTTTTAAAATTCTAGGATTAATTTTCACACACACACAGACATATATATATATATATATATATATATATATATATATATATATATATATATATATATATATATATATACATACATACAATATTTTATAAATTTTACCGAATGTTTGGCGTTAATATGTTTGTAGTTCGTTTTTTTGATTTTTCTCAATCAAATTTTTTATTAAAATTCAAAATAAACTTATTTTCCGAATTCATGCTGCAAATATTTATATATATCTTCTTCTTTCCCGTGCCTCATCCTTTTAGGACATTGGCGACCATCGACTTCAACAAAACCTGATTTTTAAAATTTTTTAATAGTTGAAATGTGGTGATGTTCAACATGTGACACAAGGATTTCTCGAATGTAATTCGTTGTTGACCTTGATTTCTTTTTCCTGCAATCTTTCCAGTAGTTGTTAGATTTTTCATTCCTTCCTTTCGCAAGATGTCACCAAAAAACTTTAACTACTTCCTTCAAATTATTTGTAGTAATTTCCTCTCTTCATAACCAGACTGTTTTAATACATACTCATTAGAGGTATAAGAGATCTATCTAATTTTTATAATTTTTTTCAAAAACCACATCTCAGCAGCATTAATCATCTTTCCATTTCTTTAGAAAGAGTCTAGGGGTCAGAGCCGTAAGTGAGCACAGGAAAAATGTAACACTCTAACAGTTTTTATTTTGTTGATTTTCTGATTTTACTGTTGATGTGGATGTTTTTCATTTTAGAATATGCATCTTTCGCTTTTGTTTGATACCCACATCACATATACAATCTGAGGTAATCAGTCTTCGAGGACCCAAGGAATGGTGTATCAAAGATGGGATTCTGATAACTTAATGGAACATGTATGTAATATGCTAATGGACCCTTAGCAGTTTAAGATCATTTGTTTAAGATTTATACAATCATATAGTTTCATAAATTTTTTTATATCAGACCAAAATCTTCAGTTCTATCTGTTCAATATTTTTAATCAGCTCATTCGTTTTACTTGCGTGGTTATTAATTAAACAGTCATTATAATTTGTTGCAAGGTGTGGGAAATGTCATCGCTACATGAAATTCGTTCAAAGTAAACCATGTCGCCTGCATTGTTCTTCATGTGATGAAACGTTGAACCTCCCGCAGAATGCAAACGTCAGAATATACAAGGAGTTAAAATGCCCTCTCGACGATTACGAACTATTGTATTGTACCACGGGTAGCAAAGGAAAGGTATTACTAACTATTATTTTGTTAGCAATTCTAATTCAATAATAATTATTTTGTTCCTATTTAAAACCAGTGTTGACATTTATCACATTTTAAAGTTCTTTCTTTGACATTGACCTTGTATATTTCAAATTTCATTATCCTGTTTTATTGTTGCAAGTTATTCAAACTAGGGTGTTTTTGAAAGTGGAATGCTGCACCAATTAAACATTTTTATTTATTCATTTGTTGCTTGCACTTGTGCCAGGGTCTACACTAGAGTCACTGTCCTCTCATTTTTTAATTTAATAAATTCTTTTGTACCCAGGGTTTTATATTTTGTCCATACTGTCTACACTAGAGTCACTGTCCTCTCATTTTTTAATTTAATAAATTCTTTGTACCCAGAGTTTTATATTTTGTCCATACTGTTTTAACGATCCGCCATTCCCTGAAATGAAGAAGGGCATGGGCTGCAACGAATGCCTGCATCCCACATGTCCTCATTCTCTCTCAAAAACACGATTGACAGAATGCCTCGAATGTGACAGTGGATCGCTGGTGTTGGATCTTAATTCCATGCCTAAGTGGAGGGTCATTTGCAATCGGTGAGATTATTAATTTGATAGTTTAAACTGAAAAACATTTTATTTAATTAATTTTTAATTCCTAATCAATATTTATTCACTTTAATTTTAAACATTATATTGCTTTTGTAAAAGTGTCGTTGACGACTAAGTTTACGTCCAGTTTAAGAAAGTAATGCACTTTTTATTGTTTTTTGATGAAGGCAAACAAATTAGGTTGAATAAGTTAATTATCGACTATAAGAATTGTCTACCTCGGTAAGATGTGCATAGAAACTACTGTTTAAATGCACATCTTATTTTTTTTAAATGTAGCCGTAAGTTATTGTTAACACCAGAAATATATTGAGAAACCAGGGCAGAATAGTTGTGGTTGTAGTTGGCTGCAAGTAGTTACTTTTATTGTTTTTATTATTATATCAGACGATGAACAACTTGATTTTGTATGAAAAAAAGAAAGAGAAAGATGTTTTTATTGAAATCGTTAATTTGTGATGTAGAAAAATTAACTTTTTCCAATGCAAAGATCGGGATTGAACATTTTATATTCATAGATGTAGCATGCTGATAAACCTGTTTGAAGGCGCAAATAAGTTAACATTAGTTGATGATCTGTGTCAAGAATGTGGGTCATCCATCGTTGAAGTTCATTATAAGGTACATGAAATTTCATTTTTCATAATTTTTGTCTGGTCACTTTTTAACAAACTAATTTTGAAGTTTCTGTTGTACATCAAGTTGTTGATCAAAACTTGTATGCTTAAGTTAACATTGAAGCTATCATGGGGAAGTACAAATAATAATCAGATTGAGAAATCTGATTTAAAAACTTAATTCGAACTTATCATTATTTTTCAAAATATAGTATGTTATTGTTGGCAAATAGTTGAAAAAGTTTGTTTTGTAGACCGATGTCTGATTAGACGATACAACATTCATTTTTAGCAAATTCTGTGGCAATTGTTTTTAATTTTTTTTTACTAATTTTTGAACTTTTATTCCAGAGTAAAAATACAGGTAGGAAGAACAACCAATTTCTAAAACAGAAAATTAATTTTTCTACAATTTCTGTAATAGCAAACAATAATTTTTTCACGTTTTTATTTTTAAGGAAAAAAGTCCATTTTCTGACAATCAATCAGTTCGTAAAGGTTGCATATTCTGTGACACTGAATTCAGTAATCTGGTGAAAATTGACAGGGCTCGTTCTTCAAGGCCAGCCAATTACAAAAGAGGAAGGGGTGGTAGAGGTGGAAGAGGCGGTCGCGGAAAACCAAAACAACCAAAAGATAAAATGGCACGATTGGCCGCCTATTTTGTTTAATTAAAGCTTTGATATTTTTTATGTTAGATTTATTCATTTCTTCACGCTATTATATTTACATAAAAAATTTTGTTGACAGTTTGAGGTGGAATATTTAAATTAATGAAATTGTTACTAAAATTTTTGTCGTGTTTCATCTGCAAGAGCCAATCTGGTTGATGTCACTCTCTAGCCAGTATTGCACCGCAAGTACTTGAAAAAAGCGCTACTCTACAACCGACTTATCGATATCCTTTCAGTCAATAACTCTATTACTCGTCAGAAACATAGCTTCGGTCCGTCGATTCTTCTTTTTGTTTGTATCCTCTTGTTAAAGTGCTTACAAAATACGCATACGGTGAAGCAAGGGTTGACAAACTCGGCCCGTGTAAGAATCCAGGTGGCTGACTGCATTTGTTTCCGAAGAAGGGTTATTTCAGTTCAAAAGAATGCCATGTGGTCTGAAGTCGACAGGAGTAACTTACAGGCAGACCGTGAAGGAACTCAAAAGATTTATTTCAATTTATCAAGACATTGATGATATTGCTGTGTATTCAAAAAGTTGGTTATTAGCATCTTCATATTTTTTTCAAAGGACATCCGAATTCGAGATAACATTTAATCTGGAGAAATGTCGATTTGGAAAAAAAAATTAAATTCATAGACCATTTGATCCGATCAGGAAAAATTGAAAATGATCCTTCAAAACTTTTTACAAAAGCCGAAAAGCTGACAAAAATGGTTGTCAGCTGCAAAAGTGCGTGCGTGTGTGTGTATAATTACATCTTTAAGATTAAAACAATAAAATAATAGCACAATCAAAAATTTGCTTTTTCCTTAAAACATTCATGGTTCACAGTTGAACTTCAACGGAAAAATGTATTATTTATTGTATCATATAAAATTAAAATATATTGATACGAAAAAAAGTTAATAATAATAAACTCCGTAACAGACCACGACGCAGAATAGTGAGTTCTGTAGAAATAATTTAATAGGAAAAAAAAAATTAAATTAAACCAACGAATATATATTTTAACAATCTTGAAACGGTAAGTTTTTTAAAACAATCCAAAAATACTGAGCTTGTGCCAAACTCATCAGCTAAATATTTTAGTGAAAAAATTGAAAGACATTTTAAAGATAGATGTAATGATCTAGTCTTGTCAAGAATAAATTTTTTAAAGTTGAAGGAAAAGAAAATAATTATAAAGTTGATATCTGAAGCAGATATATTGATATATTTTGCAGTTTTTAGCTTACAGATTTGAAAAATTATAATTCTATCAAACATACTTATAATTTTCGTAAAATAAAGTTACCAGTCATTTTTTAACAATAACGAAAATAATACTTACATTCACGAAAGTTTCTTGAACATATGAATCGGTATCTGAGTCCCAAAACGTTCTACAACACATCCTTCAATAAAGAAAAAAAATATTTTATATTTGTATAAATCAGTTAAAACTACTTGTCTCACAAAACAAATCACAAAGAAGTAAAAGTGTCAGCTCTAAGGCAAACTTAAAATTTCATCATACAATTCACATGGCGAAATTCAGATTCAGTGTAAGTAAAGTAATATTATCGGTACACAACAGCAATTATTAATAATGCCAATAAATATTAATCAATAATAATTATATGAAATAACTGTAATGCTAACTAAAAATATAATCAAAAATATAACAGTGCCAATTACTTCACTCCTTGTCCTCTCATTTCGCCAATTACAGCTTGTACAATGAATTTATATCTTGGAAAACCCATGGCTTATGACAAATTTAAATTTATTAATTTTTCTTTGAATGTGTAAATTATTTTATAAATATCCATGCCAACATTTTAGCATGTCTTTAACATTGTTGCACAAACTTTTGGTCCATTCAGCACAGTCCTCACTTTTGTATACTTTACTTTTGAAAAAATCAACCAATGTTTCTTGCAGCTTTTCTTTTACGAGAACTGATCTGAACCTTCAATCAATCAATCAATCAATCAATCAATCAATCAATCAATCAATCAATCAATCAATCAATCAATCAATCAATCAATCAATCAATCAATCAATCAATCAATCAATCAATCAATCAATCAATCAATCAATCAATCAATCAACCAATCAACCAATTAATCAACCAACCAAAAACAACAACACACGTTTAGACGACATTTGCCCCGAGATCGGGGGTTGCCGTTTGGCTACCTATGATGAAACCGAAATACCCCTCGACGCCATCCACATCTGTCACTCGCCTCAGT